TAATACTCTCAAGATTCCTTGCTCCTTATTTCTTTTTTTCTCTCTACCCTTTAAACTATATGTTTATTAAACAACTCCTCATTTCCCTTACTCTGGCAGCCACCACTTACTTTCTGTTCCTATGTATTTGACCATTTTGGACACCTCATGTAAATGTAATCACATAATATTTCCCTGTTTGTGACGGGCTTGTTTCACTTAGCATAGCGTCTTTAAGTCTTATCCATGTTACAACGTGTCACAGTTTTCTTCTCTTCCTTTTTAAATATTTATTTATTTATTTATTAATAATTAATAAATAATTTATTTATTTATTAATATTGGGGTGACATTGGCTAATAAAATTATATAGGTTTAAGTGTCCATTCAACATTACATCATCTGTATATTGCATTGTCCTCTTCTCTAACCCAACCGCCATTGTTTGTTTTTTCTATCCCTTATTTATATTTTATTAACTTATGTAAATAAAATTAGCTGTCTTTTGTTAAAATAGGAAGACTTTTTTTATATTTTCAAAAATTAATGTCTTCTTTCACTGACACCTTTGATGTTATAGTGTGTTTCACAGTAATAAGTATAATTTTTAAAAAGATGGTTATCACCTAAACATAGGCCAGTAAAGTCATAGTGAAGATCAACACTTATTTCCAAAATATATTATTGCATATCATATGCTTGATGATTTTATACTTTCAAGTTAAAAATGTATTCAGTCATTTATTGCAGAATGTTCTATCAGATTGAGTAACCTGGGCAGAGCAGATGTCTCTTCAGTGGTGACAGAGAAATTACATTGGATACAGCTCATCTTCCTTTATCGTCACTACAGTATAACTGAATATGTTCCTAGAAATACATATTTTTAACAAACTTAGTTGTAAGTTTTCTTTAAGTTTGATTCAAATATTAAATCATTTCATAAAGTAAAACACGGTGCGTTTGTTCAAGATAACCATTTCCTGCATATTATTGAGCCTGGATTCTACTGAAAAGACTGGTTATTTCATTGAATTCTGTCTTCTATGGGCTATTTTGAACTTTCGTATTTCTGGTCTATATTATGTTAAACTGTAGCTGTGATTCTAGATGGTGGTACTTGCAGATGCCAAATAAAGATTCTTTCTTTTAATAATGGGTAAGAAATTAATGACTTTCACAATTATTTCCATGTTAAAGGGAAATAATTTAGTGTCCAATGTGTGTTAGGCACTGTGACTTTATAAATTATACTTCATTATATGATCACAACAGATGAGGACTGAGGCTTGGAAAGATTTTTATTTTCTCAAAGCCATAAAGCTGGGAAAGGGAAGAGTTAGGGTTTGAAAGATCTCTCTGACTCTGCAGCTTAAACTGTTAAATACAGCTCAGAACTACTTCTCTCAATGTTCTAAACGGAAGAAACATTGTTGAGATTGTTAATCTTTTAGGGAGGTGGATTGCAGGGTATTTGATGCAAAGACCATCAGCCCATTGTTGGCAGTCTTTGGTATAGTAGCAATGTGCTTAGTTGTTTATTATTACCAGTTGTCTTTAGGATAAGTGAATTAGTTTGCTATAATCAAAAGAAACATGCACTTTATTTAAGCAAGGAGAGCCTGGTTAAACGAGAATATTATAATGATTTGTGAAAAATAGAGTGACCTTGACAGAATTATTAATTTATTAAGTTAGTGAGCAAATAGTAATTCAAATTTCTTATGTGGACCAGGCCCCATACGAAGCACTTCTATATAAAATAATAGTAATATATAATAAAATTTTCCTATCATTAGTTCCTACTACCTCCTTAGTATAAGTCACTATCATATCATCCTCTTGAGAGCTAGGATTGTTGTAATAGATTGCTATCCAAACTTCCTGATTCTACTTTTGCCCCCTTAAAGTTCATTCTTCACCCAGTAGTGAATATTATCACTTTAAAATATAAAGTAACATAATGTCATTCTTTTGGCTTGAAATCCTACTATAACTGCCCAGTTCCCTCAGAGTAAGGGTTAAAATCCTTACGATGGCCTACAGATTTACAATTTATCTACCCCAATCTCTAATTGCTTCCTTAATTTCATACTTCTGTCTTCTTTTGCTGTGCTTTAATCACATTACTTTCTTTACTGTTTCTGGAACATGGCAAATGTGTCAGGTGGTGGGATGCGAGTACATGTGGATTATAAGTCATTTAACTAGCCTTGAGAAAGTATTTTACCCAAGAATAATTTTGTCCAATTACAGGGATAAGGTATCTCTGGATTAGGCCATTTTAGACAATAAATTTACATTATTAAAGATACATATAGCATTTATTCACTCTCATAAGAAAAACATATAAAAATATCTGTGTGTGTGTGTGTGTGTGTATAATGTATTTAACAACTATCTACTAGGATATATTTGACAAATTGGAAAATAAAATTGATAAGTGCCTGGAGTTTTCTAGTAGGATGAGAGACACAATAAGACCTTAAATGCACAATGTATCAGATTGTGTATAGGAAATAACAAGGAAGAAGAATATAGAATAAAAGTAGCTGTTCTATAGAGACTGGTCAAGGAGGGCCATATGAGTGAGATGACATGCAAAGAGAATCCAGAAATGAGGATGTGACAGATACAGATTTCTTGAGAAGCGTTTTCCAGACTGATATAAGGGCAAATGTAAAGACCCTGAGGCGAGTGCATTATTAGTATTTTCACACCAGAGCAAGGAAGCCAGTGTGGTTAAAACACAGAGATTTAGACAGAAAGTGGTATAAAAGGAGTTCTGGAAATTAAGATGGGAAGATCACATCGATTATTTTACTCTCAGTGAAATGGGGAAACATTAGAAGATTTGATGCAGAGGAATGGTATAATTTGAGCTATCTTCTAAAAAAGATTGCCATTGAAGCTATTTAAGGATAGATTGCAAGGAGTCAAAAACAGAAACAGGAAACCAACACATAGCAAAAAGGACTACTGGCAATAACATAGAGGAGCAATTAAGGTGGCTCAGATCAGGATGGAGACACTGCAGGGGGTGAGAAACAGATTCTTGATTTTGAAAGTGTTGCTGACAGGATTTGCTGGATGGGGTAGATGTGAAACGTAAAAGAAAAAGATGAGTCAAGAATGACTCCATGGTTTTTGGACTTTAACTAGAAGAACTGAGTTTCCATTTACCGAGATGGAGAAGTAAGAAATGGTAGAGAATTAACCATGACTTACATTTGTAAGGCTGCTCAGGCTACAGGGTAGTCTAAAAACTTGGAGTCATTAGGAAGTCCAAGAAGATGCTAGAGACCATCTGTTTCTTGTTATATGAGTGTTTAATTCATGATTATTTAATGAGCTGGGCATTTTGTTTTGTACACTTTCCTGGATTTGTTTTATATTTAAAATAAAACCACTGTTTTAAAAAGAGAGTGAGAGAAAAAAGGAAAATGACACTATGAGAGAATAGATTCTAATGCCTGTTTTTCACGATACGCTATCTTTCTGTTCTTTTCCATGCCACCCCTTACTTCGGTCTTTTGTCATCTTTAGCCTAGACCAGAGGTTGGTCAGCTTTTTCTTTAAAGGATTAGATAGTAAATATTTTATATTTTTTAGGCCAAAGAGTCTCCATCACAACTATTCAACTCTGACATTGTAGCATGAATACAGCCATAGA